GGGGAGGAGATGGGAGGGGAGCTGTTGCATTGTGGTAAACTGTGGTCAATGTCATGAGACAAAGTGTATGTGAACTGCTATATGGAAAGTGAATCTGCTCTGTAAATCTTCATCCAAATCACTGAAAAAAAAAAAATCAGGAAGGACCAGTCCCTGGAGAAGAACATTATGCTTGGTAAAGTGGACAGTCAACAAAAAAGAGGAAGACCCTCAATTACATGGACTGACACAGTGGCTGCAACAGTGAACTCAAATATAGTAATGATTGTGACGATGGCACCAGGACAAGGCAGTGTTTTGTTCTGGTGTACATAGGGTCACTATGAGTCAGAATTGACTCAATGGCACCTAACAACAATAACAACAAAGATGGCATATTGTGAAGTGGGTGAACTGTGGCATTATCCCCCAAGAGGCTGAGTTGGGTTGTCCCTAAGTGATAAGGGAGCTCTGTCCTTGCTCATGTCAACCACAGGTCAACCTGACTGAGATGAGAGGGAAAAAAAATCCAGTATCTTAGATGCCTTTGACAATCTCATTGATGCTTGCCTCCCACTAGCCATGGCAGCCATTTTCTCCAGAAGACTTTCCATCTCAGGAAAAGAGAAATGAAGAGAGAGTATTTTTATTTAATGCCTATATTGTACTTTGCATGTATTCTCTCTTTTATTCCTCTCAAAATACTATTGAGGTGAAAGTTACCATTCCCATTTTACTAGGGAGAAATGAGAGACCTGGGGACAAGAGACACTTCACACAAGACTACACTGCAAGGAGTAGAGAAGCAGAATGTCCTCCCCTGAGGATTCCAGATAAAGTCAGAACATCTGGATTCTAATCCACGTGCTTTAATCCTGGGCAAGTCATTGAACCCCTGAAGGCTTATGCTTCTTATTGTTGTAAAATGTGGCTCTTTGTCACCTGGCCCCCTCCCCTGATGGGAGCTGTGAGACTTAAGGTAGATAATGTGTGGGGAAACTCTAAGGCATAATATGAAGTACCACAGGAAGAGAGGGGATGATCTTATTCCTGTAATTAGTGCAAAAGTGTTTGGCTCAGACAACAGCTTTCTCATGGACTGTGATGTCGCTGGGTGGTGCAAACAGTCAATGTGATTGGCTATTAACCAAAAAGTTAGCAGTTTGAGTTCACCCAGAGGTGCTTCAGAAGAAAGGCCTGGAAATCTACTTCTGAAAAGTCAGCCATAATTCACTGTGGGAAATGGTGTGGTGTTTCCTTAAAAAGTTAGAAATAGAAATATCATTTGATCAAGCTATCCCACTACTAGGAATATATCCTAAAAAGGTGAGATCAAGGACACAAATAGATATATGCACATCCATGTTCATCACAGCATTATTTACAACAGCAAAGAGATAGGAACAACCTATGTGCCCATGAACAGATGAATAGATAACCAAACTCTGGTACATGCACACAATGGAATACTGTGCAGAACTAAAGAATGATGAAGAACCAGTGCATCATCTCATAACATGGGTGACTTGGAGGACATTTTTACTGAGTGAAATAAGTCCATTACAGAAGAGCAAATATTGTATGAGTGCATTATTGTAAAAGGTCAAGGAAAAGTTTATCCAGGGAAGGAAATTTTCTTTGTTGTTACCAAGGATGGGAGAGGAGGGGAAGGGAGGGAAAATAGATAATTAAGAGACAGGTTTTATATGGGTGAAAGGAAAAGCAATATAACAGAAGTGTGTGACTAGCACAATATCACTAAGGAAAAAAGGAAGACACAGAGAGGTGCACAAGAAGTACAGACAATAAAGGCAAATACTATTGCATACATAATACTGCATTTTCTGTAACAGTAAACATTAATCTATAGATGGATACAGATACATAGGTAGACAGGTATGGGTAGACAAATGGGAATATACCTATGACCACACGTGGGTTTGGCAGATGATATTCCTACATATGTATTTGCATGTGGTGCTGTAAAAATATCCATATGTGGTTTAAACATAACAGGAAGCAAAGTTAGGATAACTTTTAAACCACAAAATAAGCACCCTGAGGGAGTGGGTTGCTGGGCTTGTGGGCTGGGGACCACGGTTATGGGGAACATAAACAAACTAACAAACACAAACGAACAGGAATGTACCCAAGACCAAGGATAGGTGGAGCTGAAGATAGTCTTACATATACGCTTGTGCTAAAAAATTATCTACACACATTACAGAAGTAATGAGGACAAGGTTGGAGTAGCTTCTCAGAGAAAACCAAACACCTTGAGGGATAGAGTCACTGAGCCTGGAGGCTTGGGACCATAGTCTTGGGGACATCAAGCTCAATTGGCACAACATAATACATAAAAGTCTTGTTCTACATTCTACTTTGGTAAGTAGCAACTGGGGTCTCAAAAGCTTTCGAGTGCCCAATTAAGATACAACTATTGGTCTCCTCTCATCTGGAGCAAAGAAGAGTAAAGAAAATCAAAGTCATCTGGAAACAATTAGTCCAAAGATATGATGGACCATAGGGACCCCAGCCTTCACAACCCTGTGATCAGAAGAGCTAGATGGTGCCTGACTATCAATGTCAACCACTCAGATCCTGGGTAGAGTGGGAGGAAAATTCAAAAACACAAAAATGACCAGAATTACTTGTCCGATAGACTGGTGAAACATGTGTACATATGTGTTAAAGAGCCATGGTGACATAGTTGTTAAGCGCTGGGCTGCTAACTAAAAGGTCAGTGGTTCAAACCTACCAGCTGCACCACAGGAGAAAGATGTGGCAGTCTGCTTCTGTAAAAATTACAGCCTTGGATTGAACATTTACACCAGGTAGGTACGCTCCTTAGAATGATCACCCATGGGAGATCAGAAGGGCAGAATTTGCACAGGGAGATAGCTCAGAAGGCAAGAAGGCATAGGAAAGGAGGATATGGGGAAAAGGTAACTGCAGGGAGGAAGTGGGAAGAGAGCTAAAAACAAACAAACAAATAAAACCCTACTGAGATTATAATATTATTTCACTGAACCTATAGATTAATTTGAGAACTGGCATCTTAACAATATTGAGTCTTTGGTGTATCTATCCATTTATTTAGATCTTCAGTTTCTCTTAAGGAGCTCTGGTGGCATAGTGCCTGAGGCATTTGGCTGCTAACCAGAAGGTCAATGGTTCAAACCCACCAGCCACTCCGTGGAAGGAAGACTGGGCAATCCACTTCTGTAAAGATTTACCACCTTGGAAACCAAAAGGGGTCTCTGTGAGTCAGAATTGACTTGATGGCAGTTAGTTTGTTTTTTTGGTTTTCAGTTTCTCTTAGCAATGCTTAGTAATTTTCAGTGCAACAGTTTTGCTCATTTTTTTGTTATATTTATTTCTAAGTAGTTATGTTTTCTCCATAAAGATTTACAGCCTTGGAAACCTAATGAGGGTCACTATGAGTCAGAATATACTTGATGGCAGTGCCTTTTATTTTTGTTTAATGCTATTATAGGAGCGCTGCTGGCACAGTAGTTAAAGCATTCAGCTCCTAACCAAAAAGTCGACAGCTTGAACCTACCAGCTGCTCCATGGGAGAAAGATAGGGCAGTCTACTTCTGTAAAGAATAACAGCCTTGGCAACCCTATGGGGCAGTTGTATTCTATCTGATAGGATCACTATGAGTTGGAATGAACTCAAAGGCAATTTTTTTTAATGCTATTATAATTATTTAAAAATTTTAAATGTCCAATTATTTGTTTGTAGTGTACAGAAATACAATTTATTTTTATATATTGGCTTTATATCACAAGACTTTTATTTATTCCTGATTTCATTAATTTCTGTTTTCTCTCTTTCCCCTTAGTTTTGTTATGATGATATGATTTTATTAATTTTCTCAGTTTTTTTATATATTTATTTCCTATTTTTTGATTTCTGAACTTTATTATTTTCTTCTACTTACTTTGGGTTTCTTTTATTCATCTTTTTCTAGCTTAACATCATTGAAATTATGTCTTTCTTCTCATTTAAAAGTGTACGTATCATTCTAAGCACTGCTGCCTCACACAAATTTTGATATGTTGTATTTTCATTTTCATCCAGATAAAAATTGGTAGTATTAAAAAAAAAAAAAAAAAATCCTGCCTTGGAAACGCTAAGGGCAATTCTGCTGTGTCCTACAGGGTGGCTGTGAGTCAGACCCACCTCGACAGCCATGGAGTAACAAGTTATGGATGTGTCTAGAAGAGCCCTGAGTGCTCATGTGAATTTGTGCTTTGTCCCCTAGGATTCTTGGAATAAGCTTCTTATTGGTGATGTGGAATTGAAAAGGGTGATGGCATGTTCCAGGTAAGGCTTTTCAGTCCCTCTGGGGGAAGAAGTGGGGTTAAGGTCCATCCCTACATCCATTGTGTGATGGTATGTTTGTCCAGATGCATTTTAACCACTGTGGACCCGGACACAGGAATCATGAGCAGGAAGGAGCCACTGGAAACTCTAAAGAGGTATGACGGGGCAGGCGGGTTCTCATCCTAGCATGTATGTGCCTAGGAGAGCAGCAACAGTGTATTTGACCAAGGAAGCAGTGAATATACCACACACATGTAATCCTGAAGCTGTTGTTAGGTCTGTCAAGTTGGCTCTGACTCATAGCAGCCCCATGTACAACAGGACAAAACACCTCCTGGTCCTGCGCCATTCTCACAGTTGTTGCTGTGTTTGAGCCACTGTGTCAATCCATCTCCTTGAGGGTCATCCTCTTTTTCCTTCCAAGGCACCTCTAGGTGGACTTGAACCTCCAACCTTTCAGTCAACCGTTTTCACTATCCAGGGGCTCCATCTATATATCACACTGTGTTTATCCATTCATTTATTGATGGGCACTTGGGTTGTTCCCACCCTTTGGCTATTGTAAATAGTGCTGGAGTGAGCACTGGTATACTGTTGTCATTTTTTGTTATTTATTTCTTTATTTTTATTTTTATTGTGATTTGGGTGAAGATTTACAGAGCAAATTCACTTTCCATATAGCAGTTTACATATACTTTGTCTCATGACATTGGCTGTTGTCATTTTAAAACATCTTGCTACTCTCCACCCCCTCAAATGTTGCTTGGCGTCTGGCATCCTTTTCTTCTGGTTTTAGCAAGTTTGTGTGCTTGCAGAAATAGGCTCCTCAAGCCCTCCTTGGGTTCCAGCTAGTCCTCTGAGCTTTTAGACCATCTTCCATTTAGGAGACTGTGTTTATAGAAGAAGGATAATTGACCCCAAGCCCAGAGTGAGGGCAGGGAGGTGAGTAACAGAGCACCAGCACACTTCCCCTGATCTTCCACAGGCTCTATGCAGCCCCACAATCCAGCCCTAATTGCTTCTAATGCCCTGGTAGACAGTGCAGCCAGCCGAGGTGTCTTCTCCTATCTCTTACTGAGATTTAAATTGCCATAGATGCAGTGATTTATGTTCTCCTCAGGACAGATGGTCATAAATTGGGAAGAGAAAGCCCGGGCATATCCCATAAATCTTGGGGAACGAAGCAAACAGCAACCCTCTCTCTGCTCCTGGGCAGTTGTTGGGAGACTCACTGCTTTCTTTCTTTCTGTCTGCTTGTGGTGCCTGAGGCTAGTGTTGCTTCTGGAATTCATGTTCTGGGCAGTGAGATCTTGCTGCCTGTTCTGTCCTGCTAATGTTGATCACCCACAGCACAGCACAGCATGGCAAAGCAATGGGAGGATAAGAAGTAAGTGCGGCATTGCTGAGCATCTGTCATATATGGGGGAAGGCACAGTGGACCCACTGTTAAAAAAAAAAAAAAAAAAACCACAGCAGTGGAGCATGGAGGCCTGTCTAACAGAATACCCCACAACCCGCTGCCATCAGGTTGATTCCAACTCATAGTCACCCTATAGGCCTCATAGGGTTTCCAAAGCTGTAAATCTTTATGGAAGCAGACTGTTTCATCTTTGTCCCACAGAGTAGTTGGTGTGCTTGAACTGCCAACCTTCTGCTTAGCAGTCAAATATTTTAACTACTGCACCACCAGAGCTTCTTGAGCAGGAGAATATGATGATGCAATTACTCTTCTTTCTTAAGGGAGAATGGCTTGCTCACAGATCCCTGCAGCTCAAGGAATAGTGGAATCTATCATTGTGGCTTCAAATACATATTGCTCCTAATAGAAAGAAGAGAGAAAATTGGTTTAATAGATGCTCAGTGGAGTCTCTGGGTGGTGCAAACAGTTAATGCACTCAGCTGCTAACCAAAAGGTTGATGGCTTGAATCCACCCAGAGCTGCCTCAGAAGAAGAATGTCCTAGCGATCTACTAACAAAACTTCACCCTCAAAAACCCTGTGGAGTGCAGGCCTGCTCTGACCCACCAGTGTTGCCATGACTTGGAATGGACTCAGTGGTAATCGGTTTAGATGTTCAGTAAAAGTTTTGTTGGATGCATGAATACTTCAACAATAAGGATGATTGGCCACCAGCCATTTGTGTTAAGCTATGCTGGGCTGAGCTAAAGGCAGAAGGATGTAGAGGTGAGAGCACCATGGGAGGAGACAGATGCCTGGACTCTCTCACCTATTACTATGTGACACTGACAAGTCACTTTGCTTCTTTCAAGAAGCTCAGTTTCTGTATTTGTGAAAACGGCACTAATAATACCTCTTCTGGTTTTTTGCTTTCCGTTGAAAGTGTTTTTATCCATGTGTTTTTAATCAACACCGTACATACACAATGGCCATGGAAGATATGGTCACTGATGGTCTCCATTTATAAACTTTATACCTTCTGAGAGAAGGAGAAGCCTGAGGACACTTCTTTCCATTCTTTATGGCTGACTTAATGAAACCTAACCCAGGCTCCCACCAACAGCCAGGCTCTGTGGTGGCCATATAGGCACCTCTCCTTGGAGCTCTCACAATGCTCTGACTCTTAACCTGATCATAGAGATAGTGGGTTGTGAGCCCTCAGAAGTAGGCCTGTGTCTTTGGGTGACCTATGGCCCCATGATCCTCCAGCTGAACCTCCAGCTGTGGGGACTGAGTGGTGATGAGAGACCTTCTGTCTAGTCATGACCTGACCTTTGACCAGTAAATGAGTAACCTAGGCAGAATAAATAATGAGCACTCACTGGTGCACAGAACTTTACAGTTAATGAGGTGTTTCCACTTACAGTACAGTTTGGAGACATTGTTTTTAAGCTAATCGAATGTCTTGGGCCTCCTCCACATTAAGTTAGTTGTATGTTTTGTATTCATTTCAAGAGAAAATGCACTAAGCAAGGGGCTTTTAAGTGAGTTTGACTCATAGTGAGCCCCCATTGGGTTTCCAAGGTTGTAAATTTTTAGGGAAGTAGATTCCCCCCATCTTCCTTCTGCAGAGTAGCTGGTGGGTTTGAACCACAGACCTTCTGGTTAGCAGCCAAATGGCTTATCTGCTATACCACCAGATCACCTTAACAGAAATATATCTACTTGAAAAAAGTGATAGAAGATCCTCGTATGAGACAATACTGCCAATATTGCAGTCTGTTGAACAATGCTTGATGCAAGCATGATTTCACAGGCTTTTTGCAATACCTCCTCATTCCCACAAGAGGTCATGAGTGATCTCATTTAATCTTTCCACAATCCTGGAGAGGTAGCATTCACAGGAGTTGGAGTTGGCACAAAAACTTAACTAACTCGACTACTAACCAAAAGGTTGAAGGTTCAACTCCACCCAGAGGCACCTCAGAAGAAAGACTTGGCAATCTACTTCTGAAAAATAGGCCATTGAAAGTTTTATGGAGCTCAGGTCTATTCTGACGCACATGGGGTCAACTTGAGAGCAATTGGTTTGGTGTTTTTTGGTTTGGCAGTGATACAGGAGGTGGGTGAGAACTGGCAGGACAATCAGCAGCCATACTACCACCACTGTAGGAAAATCCTGAGAGGCTGGGCCAGCCAAGAATCACATCTCCTATAGCACTTTCTGTCTCTCCTCCAGGCAGTGAACTGGGCTGCCACCTCCAAGCCAGGTGGCTAGACTTTGGCCTTTACTGTCCTCTTCTCTTTCTCCCCTTAATCCACCCTTCTCAATTTGAAAGGGGACTGGACTAGGAGGGGACAGCCTAGCCCTCCACTCCTAAGTTACCTGGCTAGGGAGTATGTACATGAGTGGTTGAAGGGAAGAGGCTAGTGAAACCCATCAGATGAATGGCTACACTTTTGTGTAGACGAGCAAATTGTTGTTGTTATTGTTCAAACCAAAAACCAAACTCACTGCCATCCAGTCAGATCTGACTCATAACGACCCCTCCTTTGGATTCCAAGGCCATATATCTATGGAAGTGGATTGCCCAACCTTCCTACCAAGGAGTGGCTGATGTGTTTGATCCACCAGCCTTGTGGTTAGTAGTCAAATGCCTTAGGCATTGAGTTCAACTCATAGCAACCTCATGTGGCAGAGTGACACTGCCCCACATGGTTTCTTAGGTTGCAATCTTTATGGAAATAGATCGGCAGGTCTTTCTTCCAGATTACTGCTGGATGGGTTCAAACTGCCAGCCTTTCTGTTAGAAGTTGAGCAATAACTGTTGTGCCACCAGGGCTCCTTGAGTAAATTATTAAAGCCCTCAATTCTTCTCAGACCTGTGCTTTGTTCTGAGTCATTTTTGTGTACTCAGGAGGTAGATAAATGAAAGAAGAGTCTTGATTATGGAGTCAGCCAGACCTGGGTTCTGGCCCCAGCCTGATTGATCACATTTGAAATCTATGATCTTGGGCAAGTCAGTTGCTTCTCTGAGACTTAGCATAAAATGGGCAATATTCCCACATAGGGTTATTATAAGGATTAAAAGAGATAATATATGTGAATTATATATTATAAATTTATAGTATATAGCTGTGATACACACGCACACACCCTGGGTAGTGCTACTGGTTAAGTGTTTGACTACTAATCAAAAAGTTGGAAGTTTAAACCCATCTGGAAGCACTTTGGAAGAGAGGGCTGGTGATCTGATTCTGAAAGGTCACAGCCATTGAAAACACTATGAAACAGCTCACACATGGGGTTGCCATGAGTCAGACTTGACTCTAAAGCAGTTGTTCGTGTGTGTGTGTGTGTGTGTGTATACTTACAAGTATATAAACTTCCAAGTGCTATGGAAATGTACAGTGCCCAGAACTACAACTAATTCCCTCCCTAGCTAATTAGAGCTAGTGACCCCAGACTGCAGAGCTTTGAGGCAACAAGAAATCACATTGATGAAAGAAATCATGTAAAAGTAGCTGATCTGCCCCTGTCCTCCAACAGACACAGATACTGAATGTCCCTGGTGTTGCATACTACACAGGAGAAGCCAACAGGAGAGACATGTGAGTTCCTAGTGTCACTGCAGGGATCTGATCATGGATCAAGGGAAAATGCATCATTTTCATTCATTTACCATTCATTTATTTGTTCAGACAATATTGTTTTAGTGGAGACAGTGTGCCAGGCCATGGGAATCCAGCAGTGAGCAAACCCAGTGCCTGCCCCTGTGATGCTCATAGTCTGGACGAGGAGCTGATAGACTCCAGAATGAGGCTCTAGATTTGACTCTCTCTGCTTTCTGCTTAGCGCTTTCGGATTTGGAGGACAAAATATTTTAGAATCCAGTTGTTGTAATGTTTTTCTTTTTGTATTTTTAAAGCAAGGTGGAATGAAAGTAATGCTTTGTACACATGTTTTTGTGTGTGAAAATGATGTAACTTTGGGATTAGCTTAGATGAGAAACTGAGGGAGAGCTGTTTCCTGGAGAAGGTTGGATCTTCTGTACTATTCCCACATACCTGCGCATGTGCACTCTTACTGAGGTTTTCACACCTTCTGCCTGACAAATAGGTTGATACTGTCTGTAAAAAGGAGTATGTTTGTCCCTTCAACAAACACATGTGAGTCTCCAGTGACCTGTGAGGCCTAGCCTGGGTGTGAGTAGGACCAGGGAATTAGATGCAGTTCATGATTTCCAGGGACTCCCTGGCTTGAGAAAAGATAAGACATGCACTCTGACTCTATGGAACAAGACATGTGCGTGTTCAAGAGGCCAAGAGAACTGAGGAGGGGAAATTACTTCTGGCTAGGGATCCTAAGCTTCCTTCCCGGGAGATGTGGCATTTGAGTTGAGCTTTGAGGAAAAGGTAGGCTTTTAATTCATGGAGAACTGGAGGAGGAGTATCCTGCAAGATCACAGGGAAATCACAGAGTCAGCCAAATACAAAGAATACTGAGGCATGTAATGGAGTGCTGCATAAGTTTATATAAGGAGCGGGATTGAAAAAGCTGGTTGGGGCCAGGTAGAGGGCCTACATGCCAGGCTGAAGAGGTGGAATGTTATTCTATAGGCACTGGGGAGCCATTGAAAGCTTCTGAGCCTATGAGCGATAAGAGCAGAACAAAATAAAGAAAGCAATAGAGTGTCAACACTGAATGGCAAGAAGGAGAGAATGAGGAAAAGACACTGGCTAGGAAGTTAATAGTCTGAGCATGCTTGAAAGAAGATTTGACAATGGGATTGGGGAAAAACAAGCATATTGAAAACATACTGTGCAAGAAGAACTTCAAGATTTAACTCCTTATTAGTCATGAAAAGTGAGGGATAAAGTGTAAAGGATGACTCCAGAACTCCAAGCTTGAGTGTCTGGTAGGATGGCAGAGACCAAAATGAAGGTGTCCAAGAGAAAGACACCTAGGGAAAAGGAAGGTGATAAGGTATGAATAAAAATATGTTAAGTACCTAATGGGTCCCTGGGTGGTGCAAACAGTTTGTCCTGGGCTACTAACTATAAAGGTAGGTGGCATGAATCCATCGAGCAGTGCCACAAAAGAAAGACCCAGTGATCTGCTTCCATAAAGAGTGTAGACAAGAAGCTCCTATGGAGCTCAGTTCTGCTGTGTAACACAGGAGTCTCCATGAGTTGGAATCAAGTTGATGGCAATGAGTTCTTTTGTTTTGTTTTGTTTTGTTTTGTTTTTGGCAGTCTCTTAATGGAGTTCATAGGAGGTGCAAATGGTTAACATGCTCAGCTGCTGACTGAAAGGTTGTGAGTGCAAATCCACCCAGAGGTGTCTTGGGAGAAAACTCTGGTGATCTACTTCTGAAAAACCAGCCATTGAAAACACTATGTGGGCACAGTTCTACTCTGACATACATAAAGTTGCCATGACTCAGAGTTGACTTGATGATGACAGTTGTGAAAAAGCTCTTAATGCTGAAAAGGGAACATTGGCGTCGAGAAAAGATGCGGGAATATGACCTTTGGTTAAGCCTCTGTAGGTTGTGCTCTGGGAAGGCTGCTCTATGTACAACCCCAGGGGACACTGTTCTATGGGGCTTTGATAGGAATGGTGCTCTGGAGCTGTGCAATAGGGCAGCCCTCCATGTGAGATTGACTCCTTAGCTCAGACAAGAGGGAACCACATGGTGTTGGAACGTTTGCTCTCTTTGGCTGTGACTCACCATGATCTTTCTCTTATTGCAGTTATCGCCTGTGTGACCCTTCTGAAAAAAAGTTATATGGAAAATTACCTCTCTTTGGACAGTATTTTGTTCTGGAAAACCCAGGTATAATTAAAGTGGGAGACCCCGTGTACCAGCTTCTCCAGTAAAGGATATCATGTCTCTTGCAAAATCACGTGCCTTTAGAAAACATCCTTTAAAATGATCACACTTAGAATTCAGTGTTTTGGAACTGACACGTCAGCATTTTCTTCATCTCAGTGATTTCAGAGTTTTTCCTCTCATGGATTTCTTTGTGTCTCAGTGCTTCCAGTGTCTCAGTCCTCAAAGCAAAAAACATAATCTTCAGAACTTCATCAAGTCATTTAAATGATGAAACAGGATTCTGAAAACCCCTTGCTTATCTATGATTGTGGAATAACTATTTCTCCTTCCTCTTCTTTCACCTGCCCTCAATGCTAACCTTCATCATCTCATTACCACCCTGTAGAGAAAAAGAAGAGAAAGAGGAAGAGTGAAAGGCAGGACCAGAAGAATGTTCTAGAATGTTTTATTACCCCTATGCATTGAGCATTGAATGCAAATTAAATAGCTCCCCAAATAGAGTTAGAATGGCATTTCATCATTCTGCTAGCTTTTAAAATGGGCTTAAAGAACCCGGCCTTAAGAAAACACTTAAGACAGTTTTTCATCAGTCTTCTTAGATCTGGTACTATTGCTTCTCAGACGCTGTCCCTCAGGCTTTGATGGATCCTCCATAGCACTCAGTGCCCCTAGGCTTAGGCCAGCAGAAATTCAGGGTACAAAATCAATGCACAACAGCAATGTTGCTGCCACACTCTAACTTGGATCATGTGAAAAGCAAGATAAGCAAATAGAAACCCACTTGCCATGAAGCAAAATGTACTGTAATTCAAAGACTTTCCAAATACATGAGAGTCAGCAATGGCACCAGAGAGGGAAGGTGACTCACTGTTGTCTGGTACGCTGTGTGATGTTGTCCAGAGATTGGATGGTGCCCTTCTTAATAGAAGACTAAAAACAAGTGGCCCTGAGAAGAGAAGGTGCCACCTAGTGGTGCTGAATGACAGCTCAGCTCATGCTATGAAAATGATTGAAAAAGGGCCTGTACATGGGTTTTATTTTTTTATCCTGGAAAACTGGAGTCTCTGGGTGACACAAAGGGTTAACACACTTGGGTGCTAAATGAAGGTTGGAGGTTCGAGTCCACTCAGGAGCACCTCAGAAGAAAGGCCTGGCAGTCAACTTCCTAAAAATTAGTCATTGGAACCCCTGTGGAGCACAGTTCTCCTCTGACACCCATGGGGTCACCAGGAGTCAGAGTTGACTTGATGACAACTGGTAACTGGTTTACTTGTATCCTGGAGATTTTTTAAAACAAAAGTAAGTAGAGGGACCTTACTTTTAGAGGGTGCTCTCGGCTTCTCTGATTTAAGTGTTTGATTTTTAAGAGTACTTAGGAAGGTGACTGTGTCACAGAGTGCTCCTAGATCTGTGCTGTTCTCATCAACTCATGACTGGACAGTCAACTTCAAATTAGGAAAAACTTCTTAAATCTGTGGATGAGAAGAAATGTGATTGCATGATTTGAAATAAACCACTGAAAATCTTTAAAAGGTGAAGAGAAAAGCATGTGAGTTCACTGAAAAACAAATATCTAATTTGTCTGCTATTTGAATTATAACTCTAGGATATGACAAAGTATACCTTTCATTAACTCTTTGCCCTTTGTGTTGATTAAGCTGACTTAATCTTTCAAAAATATTTCAAAACTGTAAATAAATGGAAGCTACTTTGACTAGTCGCAGGTCTTACTACCTTCTTAGCAAAAAGTCAGACTTTGAAAATTAAATGGGCAAAACCAAAAATTCTGATCAATAATTCTACACCTGCATCTCTTACAAAGTGGACCCAGACAAACACCTGTCTTTGAGGGGCTGTCAAGTAAACATTTTTTTTTTTTTTTTTTGTAGTACAGTGCCTAAGGCATCTGACTGCTAACCAGAAGGTTAGTGGTTCAAACCCACCGGCCACTCCACGGAAGCAAGACTGGGCAATCTACTTCTGTAAATATTTACTGCTTCAGAAACCCAGTGGGGGTCACTATGAGTTGGAATCAACTCGATGGCAGTGGGTTTGTTTTTGTTTTTTTTTTTAAGAGTCATGGCGTTTTTCACTTTGGTTTGATAAAAGAGTTCAGTAATAATGGGAATGAGTGGAAGCGTGTGTGTTGCTATGATGTTTAACAGGTTTCAGCAGAGCTTCCAGACTAAGATGGACTAGAAGAAAGGCCTGGAGATCTACTTCCAAATATGAGTCAGTGAAAACCCTAGGGTCACAATGATCTGATCCACAACTGATCATGGGGAAGGCACAGATCAAAGCACAGTTTGATTATGCTGTGCTTGGGCTCACCATGAGTCAGGGGCTGACTTGATGGTAGCTAACAGCAATAGCAAAGCCCAGTTCTGAGACAAGTTACAAGATAAGAAGTGAGGGTGTATGTGTTTTCTGGTTGATAATCATTGCAATTTGCTTTCTGTACACTTGGAGTAAAGTGAAGCATCAATGATGCAGAAAGCCTGGGCCATCACCTTCCCCAGTGGGTCCACTTTATGCTGAACTACAGATGTTCTTTTGTGTTCTACTGCATCAATTTCGACTCTAGCAGCCTCATGTGCCACAGTAGAACTGCCCCACAGGATTTACTTGGCTGTAATCTTCAGAGGAGCAGATCACCAGGTCTTTCTCCCATTGAACAGGTGGGTGGGTTTGAATTTCTGGCCTCTTGGTTAGCAACTGAGCACCACCAGGGTTCCTTGAAATTACAGACAGGTGGAGGAAAAATAAGGATTCTTCAAGGAGCATTACTAACAGGACTGTGAGAACCCAAGACAGAATGCACACAGGATTTAGAAACTGATGTGAGTATCTGCTCTCTGAGATCAGCCAAAACTTATGGGCCAGATTGGATGGCTGTGGTTAATAGTTGCTGTCAAGTCAGCTGAGACTCATGATGACCTAATGTGCAACAGAACAAAATGTCTGGTCCTACCCTTCTACATAATCCTTGATATGTTTGATTCCATGTTTGTTTCAGCTATTGTGTCAATCCAAGTCATTGAGAGCTTCCCTCATTTTCGCTGGCCCTCCCCTTTACCAAACATGATGTTCTTTTTCTAGTGATTGGTTTTCCTGATAAAGTGTCCAAAGTAAGTGATTCAGAGTCTGACCATCCTCACTTCTAAGGAGCATTCTTGTTTTATTTCTTCTAAGCCTGATTTGTTCATTCTTTGGCAGTCCATGGTATATCCAATATTCTTCGGCAGCATCAGAGTTTGAGCACATCGATTCTTATTCTGTCTTCCTTTTTTATTATGCAGTTTTCTCATGCACATGAAGTTATTGAAAAGACCATGGCTTATGTCAGATGCATCTTAGTCAGAAACGTGACATCTTTGCTTTTAAAGACTTTAAAGTGGTCTTTTTCAAAAGCACATTTTCCCAATGCAATATGCTGTTTGATTTCTTGACTCCTATTTTCATGGATGTTGATTGTTGATCCAAGTAGAGTAAAATTGTTGTCATTATTCTGTTTGATGGCTACTTGTAGATATTTGAATTCAGTCGCAAACGGAATGTCCTAGTCCTAAATTTCTCTGGTGATGTAGTGCCTAAGGCATTTGACTGCTAACCAGAAGGCTGGTGGTTCAAATCCACCAGCCACTCCTCGGAAGGAAGGTTGGGCAATTTACTTCCATAGTGATACCGCCTCGGAAACCCAAGGAAGGGTCGTTATGAGTCGGGTCCGACTCAATGGCAATGAGTTTGGAGTTTGGTTTTTAAGTAAGTGGCTAAGGCATTCAGCTGCTAACCAAAAGGTTGTTGGTTTGAACCCACTAGCCACTCCATGAGAGAAAGATGAGGTATTCTACTTCTGTAAGGATTTGTAGCCTTTGAAACTCTATGGGGCAGTTCTACCCTGTCTTATAGGGTGACTATGAGGCAGAATCGACTCTATGGGAGTGGGTTTTGGTTTTTGTAAGTAGTAGCATCAACTTCCTTAATGATCCAGTCTGTGTCCAAAGCCAAACTTCATACAGACTCTATCGTTCTCAGTGGCCAGGGTCTTGGGGAAACTGTTATTGCAGGGTAACTCTCAAACAGAAAGGGACACCGGGACACCTTCTTCATGTAGGTGGGAGTCTCCCTCTACTCCTCAAAGCATGAGGAAGATTCCTGTTTGAAGGGAGAGTTTCCAGCGACCTCGAGAGTCTTGGAGTAGTTGCCAAGCTTTCTGTCAAGAGATTTAAAAGCCATTTACTTGTGTTTATTTTATATTTAATGAGTTGTTTAATGCCAAAGTCAGGCTGATGTCCTGTTTATTTTGGATACTGAGCATTTGCACACAATTTCACTTGAAATATAGGGTCAGGACTATAGGCCATCGCAGACCCTCAGAAAGATCTCCTTACAGCAGCATATGATTGACATTCTAGGTCAGATCAGAATATCCGTCTTTGATGGGTGTTTCATTCTGGGTGGCAACTCTAAACTGTGATCACAGGAGAGAGGTACACATAGGTGAAGACCTTGAAGAGAACTGTGTAAGAAAGACTTGTTCTTGTTGTTGTTGTGTGCCATCGAGTCAGCCCCGACTCATAGCAACCCCTCCTTGGGTTTCCAAGGCAGTATCACTACGGAAGTAGGATTGCCCAACCTTCCTTCCGAGGAGTGGCTGGTGGGTTTGAAGTAAGACTAGCTGCCTGAAAGTCTTGCTTCATGGCTATTCACAGAAAGGGTTAGGAACTTATAACCAGGAGATAGAAACAGCAACTTATACACACAAGTGAGTCCCTGGGTGGTACAGATGTTAACATGGTCAGCTGCTAGTTGATAGGTTGGAGGTTCAAGTTCACTAGGAGGTGCCTCTATTTCTGAAAAAGTCAGCCATTGAAACCCTGTGGAGCACAGCTCTACTCTGACATGCATGGGGTCACCATGAGTCAAAAATCACTTGACAACAACTGGTATACACACAAGAAAAAAAAGAAATCAGGGTGAGCCTAATGAGAATTGAACACTTGATCCACAGTGATATCCCTTATATTCCTTAGTGATGCAGGGT